ATATATATATATATATATATATATATATATATATATTAATTATATTATCTATTTATCAAAATTAGAAGCCTTAATTGATTAAGTGGTCAAATAAATTTAAAAAACTAATTAGACTTCTATTTAGTAATTAATTAAATAATTAATTAATTAGCTATGGACTCAAATATGAGTGATATGAGTGAATGTCAGGATGACCCTTGAGAATAATGGAGACCCTAATTGGTCATCACACTATATATAGGCTATGATCCTCAATATACCGTACACAAACAATTTATCTTTTCTCCCCGTCTAAAGAGAATTCAAGGCATTACGAGTATCGGCTGAGGAAGAACCACACAAGTCATAAGGTATTTGTTGTTTGTCTTCTAACTTTCAGGATTATCTCCAACAAAACTTTCTCAATAGATTCAGGTATTTCTGCAATCTCTTTTCTCATATACTAACATGTCGTAGATTTGATAATTATATACATATTTGTATTATCTATTCTATTCTGCACAAAAATATATGACATGATATCTAGAACATGTATATGTGATTAATTATTATTGATTTAATTCCAACAAATTCAACTTGTTAATTATGATATGAACTTGTGATAATAAATTAAATTATCTCTCTAATTCAACTAAATTTATTGTTTCTTATGCTAAAACATATGCTTCTTTCTTTCTTATTTAATTTACTTTTGATAAAATTATACTATCCTCTTTTTAAAGATGGTTGAATTACGCTTTCCTCTTCTTTTTTTTAATGTTAAAATCTATATATTTTTTTCTTAAAATTTTAGTAAAAAGATTTGACAAATAACAAATAATAAAATTGTAAATTTAATAAATTTTAATATTATATAATTATAAAATTAATAATAAAAATTTGGACATAAAAAATGTCAATGATAATTATTTTTCAAATTAAAAAATAAAATAAATGAAATTCTAAAACTTTTTTTTTATAGAAATAATGGTTAAAGTTTTTTTTTTGACAAAAAATAAAAAAATATTATAATAAAAAATGTATTTATATTAAATTTGATTGAAATATATTATATACTTTGTTAAAAAGTACAAAAAGACACGATCCCTAATTGTGTAAGATTGTTTGAGTGTTTTAGGGTTGTTGTTGGCGTTGAAGCAAACTCACGCGTAGTGGTGTTAAATTCGAAATATGTGTGAATTATGGGTCAATTGAATGTCTCATCTCAACCCCATGGTTGAAGTATTTATAAAGGTCTATTGAGGTCTGGATTTTTGGATCAATGGTTGGTTATTCTCCCCTTCTTAGGAGCGTGAAACTGTTATTAACCATATTCTTATAAGGAACGTGGTTACCCCATTTAACATGTCAGTCCCTACGTTCATACGCGGGCGATGGGTGGCTCGACCCAAGCTTAAGAGAGGGTAGGTTATGTAGTTAAGGGGAGATCGTTGCAACTAATATTCATAAGTTGTGATTAGTGGGCGGCTAGAAACCAAACTTTGGGCGGCGTGAAGTACTAGCTATGTCTTTGCCCAAAGCTGGCTTGTCTTTGCCCCCATTTTGTTTACCTTCCTAAGGTAAATCAAAATTATCCCAATATACAATCCCTCAAGCACGAGGTCTTGTAAAAGGGTGAAGTGATTTAGTTTGGGTGTTTCATGCGAGATTTTAAGTTGAGTCTCTCTGGCGAGACTTTAAGTTGAGTCCCTCAAACACGACTTTAAGTTGAATCCATCAGGCGATACTTTAAGTTGACTCTCTCACACATGACTTTAAGTTAAGTTATTTGTCTTGTTGCATACTAAAGGATCTACGATATGGTATATTTTATGATCGGGCAAAAAGGTTAATGGTGAGTAAGTCGACGAAGCCTCATAATTATGTTGTAGTTTTCCCATGTGAGCTGGAGTGAAAACTTGTATGAGCACAAGCTCGCCCTTCTGTATTTCCCTTGGGAGCACTTATGAATTATATCTTTTGGGTGCCCTTAATTTAGCAGCGATTTCCCTAATTTATGAGAAATCTTGATTTCTTCAATATGGTCGGTTACACAATTAAGTCCAACCTCGTTCTTTTCTTTGTTGAATTATGAACACCTTTGTGGACATGTCAAGTTCGATAGGCAACCTGCTGTCAATGTTGTATATCATTATAAATGAAGTTTCTTTAGTAGTTTAATTAGGGTGGTGTGGTATGATTATAATACTTCATGGAGTTGTTCGGCCCAGAGGCCATTGGCTTCATCCAACTTTTTATTTATCTTGCTAAGTATTACTTTGTTCGCCGACTCTGCCTGCATGTTCACCTGTGGGTAGACAACTAAAATAAACTTTGTATTTACACCCCTAGGTCGTGATAGAACTCGACCATAGTGGACCTGGCGAATTGAGTACCATTGTTTGAGACGATAACTCCCGTTAAATCGAACCTGCACATGATTCGCTACTAGTAGAAGCAACAAACCCTTTTTGATGTGATCTTGGAGACGACTCCAACTTCTATCCATTTCGTGAAATAATCTACTCCCGCGATCAGGAATTTTGGTTGGCCAGGAGCTAGCAAGAAAAGTTCTAAGATGTCCACGCCACATTAGTGGAATGGTCACGATGAAGTGACATAATAAAGGATCTCAATTGACACGTGATGTAGATTGGCATGCGTCTTCCACTTGTCCCATTTCGTGACGAATTATGCATTATTATTCATCAAACGACCCAATAATAACCCACCCTAAGCAATTTATAATCCAATGATCACCCTCCAATGTGACTATCACATGTTTCTTGGTGGAAGTATACTCAAAACTCATACTAAAAAAATTCCTCCCAAAGGCGCTCTAGAACAAGATATCAATTGAGCTCCCAGGGTTAATCCACACTTACGTTGCATATCAATTATCATATTACACCTTGATGACCATGAGATCATTGTTATGATGGAGGATGCCAATGATACCTTTGTTGGAAAAGGTAATTTCAGACTCTGGTTCCTTCTCCAAGCCTATTTTAAGATCATTGTGTATAACGCTCGTCGTCAATATTTGCCTGGTACACTTCAGGAAAGAAGAGCTGAATTTTTCACCATTAGAAAAACCTCATGTATTGGTGTTGACAGTGATATTTGAGCTTCGCTTCACAATCCTTATGGAGAAGGTGACAAAAATTACTAGTGATAATAAGTGTAGCCTAAGTTTGTTTTATCGGAGATCTGGGATGGGCGTCAATCGACTTGCTATAAAGTACAGTGAGAGACAACCCCTAACTACATAGGGTTATCTAATGGTTTTATGGTTGTTGTTGTTGGTGTTAAAGTAAGCTCGCACATAAAGTGAGAAACTCAGTATCTGTGTGGCTTCTGGGTCAATTAAATGTCTCCTCTCAACCTCATGGTTGAGATATTTATAGAGGTCTATTCGATTTAAATTTTTAGACCTATAAAGGTCTAATGGACGCATGTTATGATCAGCGGGCGATTAATAATCACACTTTAGGAGACACATTTTTCCCTTTTAGTTTACCTTTTTTTTAGACAAAGAGGAATTATTTAAAGACAACTTAATTCTTAAGAGAACATGTGATTAAAAAGAGTTTCTCTTTTTTTAAAAATATAAATATTATATTTAAATAAAAAGACTCCTCCAAAACTAAAAAGAATAACTTAAACATAATAAATAGTAATTTACCAAAATAATAAGTATGACTAATTAAAAAACAAGTCTATATTTATTTAATTATATATATGCATAAAAATTATTAATCAATCGATAAAAAAGTATGTCAAAACAAGTAAATTGATTGAATGGGAATTTTTTATTAAAAAAATATTAAAAGACTTATAAATATTCAAAACAAAAACGTATTTTAATATAAATAATTTATATACCACGAGTAAATTTTTTTGGACATTGATATTAAGTTATTTATAAATCATCTGTACCGAATTATACATTGTTTTTTAATTTCGCACAAATTAAAAGAAAAAGTAATTACCAATCATAAGTTATATATTAAAATATGGTTTGTTGATAAAAACATAATTTAAAATAATTGAAAATAAATATAATAATAATATGTAGTAATATAATATTTTATTAATATTGTAAAGCATAATATACAATTTAAGCAAATATATTTTAATATGTCCACATATCATTTGAAATGTACTTTTTTCAATCATGGGTTACAAATAAAAAATGAAATTAGATATTTTTAGATGTGATGAAAGTAAAAGTTAAGCACTTCTAGATCTGATTTATAATAATAAATATATAATATTTTTATACTTTTCGGACATATCAATTAAATTCGTAAAATATTATCTCAAATCTTGATTATTATTACAAATAAAATTTTGAATTTGATTTTATTAGAATTTTTATTTAATTAAAGTTTGGATTTATTAAATATCAATAAAAAACATTTTAGTAAATTTAATTTACATTTTAGATGAAATTAAAAAACTTAATTATAATTAATTATTTTTCAATTAAAATTAATTATTTTTATTTATAATAGTAATAGAAGGAAATCATAATTTATTAAAAAACTTAATTATAATAGTAATATATAACAGTACTTTACTTACAAACTAAGATAGAATATATTTTTATCAAAATATTCAACAGAAAAAGAAAATCATATTAATAACCTCATAAATGAAATGAAAAATAAACATGTTTGGTTAAGACCAAAATTTAAACACCACTACTTTTACAAGTAAAGCAAGAGAGAGTAAAGTTAATGATCTTTTCTTATAGATCTCATCATCACTTCACACGTGTCACAATCTAAACCGTTAGATCAAATCCTTAAAAGAACCCAATTTCGTTGATATTTATTTCATCATTATAATGAATGACCTTTCACCAGCCTAACAACGATGCTGGTGAAGATAATCAAAACCAAAACCAAAACCCAAACCCTTTGATTCTTCGAATACCCTTTTGGAAAAAGCTTCGATTTTTGTTGAAATAACAAGAATCACGAAGTGGGTTTCTGAGAAAAATTGAATTGGAAAAAATGGGGGCTTGTGGGTCTAAACCTAAAGTCTCTGGTGATCTTAAAACGAAGAAGATTAATAATCATAATCATCGTAGGAAAAGAAGAAGGATTCTTCGAAAAAGGGTTTCTTCTCATAAAATCGAAAATAATGTTGCTCACTCTAATTCTGGTTTGCAAACTTCTAATCGTGCTTCAGGTACTTCAATTTTTTTTTCTGTTCATATTTGATCCAATCCAATTTTTTATTTTTATTATTTTATTATTGTAGTTTATTTAAAAAAAATAGTTTTTATTGAGTTCTGATGCTTTTTCTGAGGTGAAATTTATGATTTGGAAAATAATTAAATTAATGTGTGTTTGATTGGCATTGAAGTGAACTAATTGTGTGTGTTTTTTTCAGATGCTGCTTGGTTTGATTCTATTTCAGCTTTGGATTCTGAATGTGATGATGAATTTTACAGTGTCTATGATGGTATGTAGTTTTTTTATGGATTCATTACTTGCATGATTGTAGATTTGTATGGTATTTTAGTGATTTAGGTATTTTAGATTCATGGTATGGTATGATTTTATAGTATAATTTGTATCACGGAACGATCCTTGATGTTGTCGATGTTGCAAAGAATTGCAGTCAAATATGGTAAATGCAGAGCCTCGATGGGCCATTGCAAATTTGGTAAAAGCTACAGTTTGTAGATTCGAGCCGTGATTTTTCCAAACTCACTCCTGATCCAAATATGCACTATAGTCAAATGAATAACAGTAGTTTTTTGTATGTTGAAATCGGATAGTTCTTGAGGTGAGTTAACTTTGTGTTCAACAGGAGAAATTTCTGTGAGTCATGCTGATGATATTGGACAGGAAAGAAGATTAACTCCGGAACATTGTGGGATTCTGCAAAATAATTGTTTGCCTTGCCTTACTTCTTCTACTGCCCCTTCTATTGAGAAAAAGAAGCCAATGAGTCCCGAAACATCGAGTGCGCGAAGAAAGTCGCTTTCTAAACTGTCGTTCAAGTGGAGGGAAGGGTCTTCTGATATGGCGTTACGTGAGTGATCTTTCATATTAAGCTTATGTATAATGAATTTTTGAGATTTTAGATGTTTTTAGATGTTTGTTGCTAGTTTTTAATGGTTTTTCTTGTTACTGATTATTGACTTATCTTTTGTTTCAGTTTCCCCTAAGGCGTTCAAACAAAAACTAGTAGCGGGTTCGACTATTCCGTTTTGTCCAATTGAGAAACAACTCCCCGGTACTTGGTCACCGCTTGAGCCAAGTTCCTTCAGAGTCCGAGGAAAAAATTACTTGAGGTACGCACCAAATGCTAACTTTGAACAAAACTTTCTTTCTGTGATTGAACCTGTTGTTAGCCATGTTTATAAAACGGACCGGCCGGTTCAACCGGTTGAATTGGCCAGTTCGCTGGTTAGTTCGATCTCCGTTGTATTGCAGTTTGGTTAAACTGGGATTGAACCAATTTGAACTGTGATCTGGAGGTCTCAACGGTTCGATCTCTGGTCTGTTTTTTAGGACATCGGCTATTTGGATGAGACTTGTGTAGAGGCTTATGGTTAATTTTTTGTTGCGTGGTTTACAGGGATAAGAAGAAAGAATTTGCTCCAAGTGGTGCTGCTTTCTATCCCCTTGGCGCTGACCTCTTTTTGTCTCCGCGAAAAATTGATCACATTGCTCGATTTGTACAAATACCTGCGATAAATATACCCGGGGACATCCCTTCAATTCTTATTGTAAATATTCAGGTAATTGCATATTTCCTCGTTCATATTAGATATGAACTTGGAATTTCTCATCACAATGTTCAAATTTTTCATAAAAATCTTCTCATATTTGTGTTCTTTGAGATGCAGATACCGTTATATCCTGCTACAATCTTCCAAAGTGAAAACGACGGTGAAGGAATGAATGTGATTTTGTACTTCAAGTTATCTGAAAGATATTCTAAAGATCTTTCAGACCAATTTCGAGAAAATATCACTGTAAGTTGTTAGTATTATGGCGCCATGTTACGTTAGATGTTGCTTCTAAAACCGTATGATTAATTTGTAGACAATTCATTGACAAGCGTGTCTGTTGTTTTGTTTCTTGACAGAAAATGATCGATGATGAAGTCGAGAGAGTTAAAGGCTTTCCTATGGATTCAATCGCACCGTTCAGAGATAGATTAAAAATTTTAGGTAGAGTGGTGAATGTGGAAAATCTTAATTTAAGCGCGACTGAAAAGAAGCTGATGAATGCATACAATGAAAAGCCTGTTCTCTCACGTCCTCAACATGAGTTTTACTTGGTAAATACGCTTAACATATGCTAGTTTCATTGAATTATTATCAGAATCATATCGATAAATCTACTTCACTTTTAGTTTTTATTGCTGTAACCATTTTTAGAACCTCGTTCAGATATCGGTTTACTACTCACACATTTTCATATGCAAAGTTGCTTACTTTTTGGTGTTTAGGCGCGCCCGTTTTCGATTGGTGCACTAGTATGCCATTTGTTAGTCTTTGGACAGTCATAACATGTTATGATGCACTGGCACAAACACCGAACACGTCCACATTGGTAAAAGTTTGTGAAAATCGAATGTAACCATACGAGTCTGACAGTGTTGTCATGTCAATGTCAAATAGCGGCTATAGTGGCGCTATGGTGCTATAGCTTAGCAGAACTTTAACGAACCGATATTTTGTCAATAACTTTCGTTAGCTCTGCAGCGTAGCGAAATTTGAACACTGCTATATTCTTGATCTGTGTCGGTGTCGGACACCATAAACTCATTATAAAGGTTCTTATAAAGGTTCTTATTCTGAATCGCTTTTATTTCACAGGGAGAAAACTATCTTGAAATAGATTTGGATGTGCACAGATTTAGCTATATTGCAAGAAAAGGATTTGAAGGCTTCATAGAAAGACTGAAGCTTACTAACCTGGATTTTGGCCTCACAATTCAGGTTACTATATTTTCTCATTAATTATGGAAACAACTTATATAAAAACAGTTTAACTATATTTTTTCTTTGATTATAGAAATAATTGAAACATAACTACTTTTATATGATAAGCACTTAGTGTCTGTTTCGATTAGATTATTTGAGTTTATCTACTGACATATGCACTTACGAGACTATTACGAAGAGCTTATGGAAACAACTTACAACTTACGATATATCCATAAGTTGTTTTCAACTTATTTTCATAAGCTGGTTAGGATAGCTTATGAGAACAACTTGTAACTCTTTCTATGGCTTTTGTAACACAGGGAAACAAGCCAGAAGATTTGCCAGAGCATTTATTATGTGCAATTCGGTTGAACAAAATTGATCACAGCAGTTTCAACCAGATTGGTGTTTCAAGTTAAAGCTCAAACATAAAAGAGCTTTAAGCTTAATGTAATATCATAATCATAATCATTATATTATATAAGAATGTTAATCATAGAATATTTTGAGATGAGATTCTGTGGCTAACTGCCATGTATGTATGTATGTATCTTTGAATTTTCTTGATTCATTGATTAAGTTGTAGAATGTACAGTGATGAGAATATTAAATAATTAAATTAAATTGGAAAACAAATATTTAATTACTCAACAATCTCATTTTATTACTCCATAAAATTTAACAACAACAACAATAAAATCATAAAAAAAAAAAGAAAAAAAAAGTATTGTTCATTAAAAAAGGAACAATGACCAACCTATTTACTTCACCAAATAAAAAATATGGCTGACATATTTGCATAACGTGAAAATTAAACTAAGAAATGACAAAATGTACCCTAAATTTGTAATAGAGATAATCATAATCAATCTCTAATTGGTGGAGAATGCATGCATATTCCACAAAAGGAAGATAGAAGACCTCTATGTACCTTATTTTGATTGTTTCTTGGTGAAGGTGCTGAATTTGCTACAGTTGTATTTTCATTATTTCTTCTTCCCACCACAATGTTGGTTCCATTTTGTGACACATTTTCTTCATTGACTTGATTCTTTGTTGAAAGACTTCCACTTTTTGGTTCCATGAATTGCATATCTTGCCATATTCGACCCGACGATCCTTGCCGACGAAACGAACATGAAGATCTTTGCAATGTGATCATGATAAATTAAATTTTTGATATGTTTTTGTAGTAGTTTTTCCTTCAACAAGTGTTTTCAAATGATTATACAAGTTTTTTGATTTGGAGAATGAAATTGAGTTATGTTGTGGATAAAGAATTGTTTTGTTATAAGAGTATGGAGATGATTCATGTAAATGCAAATATAGTAAATAGATTTATATAGTTATGTCTTATCCATACAATTTGAGTGGTTCATCATAGTTTCAATGTTGAAAATGCTACATGTGGTTATGCTATAAACATGCTGCTATATTATAGGTTACACGGTGATATAGTAATAGCATAATAAAATCATAACCACAAATCTTATGTAATTAAAATATGGTTTGTTAAATTTAAAATTTGAATCATCTAATTTCAAATGAATGATTATGATTTGCTAATGGTGAAACTTCAAATAAACAAAAACTAATGCGGAGAAATCGTATTCTATAGCCTTTATGTGACTCTTTGTACATTTCTTTTACCAAGTGTCTCTCTAAACTCACAAAAGTATAAACTAAACTTTAAAAATAATAAGGTTTTAGGTGAGCTATAATACTTTTAGTTACCCATTAGAGATTAATTCTTGAGGAAGTAAGATCCGTTTATATCGAAATTAATATTATGTGTAATGATTGTTGATTTTATCAGATAAAGTAACACATTGTGAACTCCTAGTTTGTCGGTGGTGGAGAAGAGGAGGAAGGTGTACCTGCAAGACACTCCGATGTTAAAGTAAGTTTCAGAGAGAGAGAGAGAGAGAGAGAGCAAGTACATAAAAGAGTTAGAATATCTGACCCTCTTGTGAAAGAGGGTACTTATAATATGCCCCAGTACTGGGCCAAAGATTATCTGCATTCGGTTGGATCATTAGGCCTAATAAGGATAACTAGCAGGATCTACGTGGCGTAGGGAAGACCAGCACGCGGTATTCGTTCTGGGTCAACTGTCTCATGACTTCGGAAGGTGGAGGACCTGTTCTCTCAGATGCGGGAAGTTGGCTAATGACATGTTTCCGCGAGGGGAGCACGTGGAGACTGTGGGAGAGACGTGTGATGAGAATTCCCATGCGATTTGATGGATTGGACCTTAATTGGACCCTCCCCAATGAGAAGCTGGGTTGAGCCATGCCCGACGGTAGGCCGGCCTTTGACCCAGTCCAAAACAATTGTATAACCAAAGAGCATACCATATTCACTTAAAATATCCAGTGTATATTAGTATTGGTTAATTGCAATATCTGATGAAGATTGTATAACTTCAATTTCAATGCCTAATAATTATTTGATTGAGCCCAAGAATTTGTTCTAAAATTTTTTGAAAAATGAACTTTCATTTTGATGGATACCTTTTGAGTTATATTTATTAATAACAATGTCATCAATGTAGACTAGAAGGAAGATATAACGGTAAATGGAGGAATGAAGAAAAAAAATAGAGTGATATGTTATAGTTCAACAATGAACCTCTATTAACAATGCACAAGAATTCGAGAAGATGAAGAATTAGGAAAGAGAGAAAAATGAAAGAATTGTAACTAACTTTGACTCAAAATGAAAACAGTTACAACTACTAAAATTAAATTGCAATTTCAATTTATATACACACCCTCAAAATACATATGTTAACCAAATGAAACTTAAATGCAATCTAATTTCAAACCAATTACAACTTGAATCTGAATTACTATTCAACATTATCCCTGAATTCATATTCAAGTTAAAGTCAACAACACCAATTTCATCACTCAAATTGATGAAGTGTTCAACTTTGATCACCTTGGCTAACACATCTACAAGTTGCTTCTGAGTATTACAGTGAACAACTTCAAGCATTCTATTATGAACTTGATTGTGCAAAAAATAGAACTTTGCCTCTATATGCTTGCTACTCCCATGTATCGTTGGTTGTTTTGCAAGGCTTATGAAAGATTTGTTGCATATGATTAACTTGACTGGTTTGCTCACCTTGAACTTCAGTTCCTGCAGCAAATTCATCAGCCAAACAACCTAACAAGCTGACAAAGCACCAATTATGTATTCAACTTCACAAATTTACAAAGCAACAACTGGTTGCTTCTTGAAACACCAAGAAATGGGGGCTCCCAGGTACTTAAACAAGTATCTTATAGTGCTTCTTCTATCAACTCTGTCTCCACACCAGTCAGAGTCTGAATAGAATATCAGCTCAACATCATCTGACCCTCCAGATGGAAACAAAATGTCATACTTCAGAGTTTCTTTCACATACTTTAGTATCCTGAATGATGTTTGGTAATATGACCACTTTGGTTTACTCATAAACCTACTCACCATTCCTACTGCATAACATATGTTAGACATGGTATTATATAGATATCTCAGATAGCCAACCAACTATTTGAAGGTTGTAATATCTACATTCTCACCTCATTATAGTCCAGCTTATGATTTGTCTCAGCAGATGTGACTGCTAACTTACAATTTACCAGCTCAAATCTCTTCAGTAACTCAAGTTCATATTTCAGTTTGGGCATAATTATTTCATTTTTAGAGTGCAAAATCTCCATTCCTGGAAAACATACTATATTTCCAAGGTCAATCATCTCAAATTCATTCATCAACACCTTTTTGAATTTGTTCATTTCAAAAATACAACTCCCTGTTAACAATTTGTTCATTCATATTTCCTTCAGAGGTATGCTGAACATATACACCATACTCCATTTCACACTTTCAGAATCATTGAAGCTTGAAAAATGAATTAATTTTTAGATTTCAAGTTCTTGGAGCTTGTTTTAGTCTATACAAAGCTTTATGCAACTTGTACAACATCCCTTCCTGATTCATTTTCACAAATCCAGGAGGTTGTGAGACATAAGCGTCCTCTTGTAACGGAACATTCAGAAAGGCTAACTTCACCAATCCGATTATTTAATGTCTAGCTACACGAGCAAACAAAGTAGTCTAAACCGGATTTATGCAGAAATCCTCGAGCTACTAACCTTGATTTGTACTTAGAAATTAATCCATCTGGTTTCAACTTTGTTTTTTTATACCCATCTAATACTGATGGCTTTCTTGTCCTTGGGTAACATAGTCAAATCCCTTGTATGGTTTCTTTCAATTTCCTCAAGTTTTTCTTTCATAGCCTTTAGCCACACTTTCTTCTTAAGTGCTTCATTGATACTGACAGGTTTATAGTCCATAATCATGGAACACTGAATAACTTCCCCTTCAGAATCAATCTCAGTATCTTGTAGCAGTTCAAAATATGCAAGTCTTCTTTGTCGAATTCTTTTTGGCTTAATTTCATAGGCAGAAACGCCTTCAGGGGCTCCACCTTTAGACGCAGAACCACCTTCAGAGGTTGGATTACCACCAGAGTCTGGGTCATCATTATAATATAAATTATCACCAGATTCATCTTCAAAATCAGACTCACCCTCAAACTCGGACTCACCTTCAGAGTCTCCTTCAGATTCAACTTCAACTTCAGAGTCACCTTCAGACTCTGACTCATCTTCAAAGGCAAAAATACCCTTAGACGTAACTCAAGTGTTATTATTGCACCCGAGTTGGATTGAGACTTGCTCTAATCCCACACTTTTGATTCTTTCACAATAACATCTTTGTTGAATTCAACTTTGTTGGTGATCGGACAATAAAGCTTATAAGCACATGTATTATGGTAACCTATAAGTAGCATGACTCTGCTTCTGTCACCCAAATTCCTTCTCTTAGTATCTGGAAAATGTTTGTAACAAATATAACCAAACACTTTCAGATGGCTCACATTTTTCTTTCTTCCAACTCACTTCTCAATAGGAACAACTCCTTTTAACTTCTTAGTTGGACATATGTTGAGCACATATGCTGAAGTTGCAACAGCTCCACCCCACAATGTATGAGTCAAATTCTTCTCTTTCAACATGCTCCTTGTCATATCAAGCAAAGTTCTATTTCTTATTTCGGGAAGACCATTGTGTTGAGGAGTGTATGGAGCAGTGACCTCATTCTCAATTCCATTCTCCTTGCAGTACTTCTTGAACTCTGTAGATTTGAATTCACATCTACTATCAATTCTGAGAATCTTCAAACTTTGTCAACTCTGATTTTCAGCCTTGACTATGAACTTCTTGAATTCAACAAATACCTCATGTTTGAACTTTATGATTGCTACCTAGATCATTCTTGTGAAATCATCCACAAATGAAAGAAAGTACTCGTTTCCTCCAAGTGAAGGTACTGGAAATGTCCCACATACATTAGAATGCACCACACCCAAAGCATGCTTTGCTATTGGAGGCATTTATGATGAGAATGTCAAACTTGGTTGCTTTCCTCTCACGCATACATCACATGATTTTTCTGGTGCCACAATTTTTGGAATTCCATGAACCAGATTCTTTGAACTCAATTGACCTAAGCTTTTGTAGTTCAAATGCCCTAATCCTTAGTGCCACAACCCACTTTTATTTACAACATATGTTGCACTAAGGCATTAAAAGTCTGCAGTTTTCACATTCACCTTAAATGTCCTATTCCTTCTCTGTTCCAACTTCATAATCAACTTTTGATTACAGTCATACAACTTTAAGAGATTGTCCTTCATGGCTACTAAAAAACCTTTTTCAATCAGCTGATCTACACTCTTCATGCCAAGAACATACCACACATCTTGAATCGGAGCATTTTTACCATTCTTCAGTGTTACTCTGGCATTTCTCATTTCTTCAGCATTCAGGTACTTATCATCATCACATCTGATCTTAGTCCTTTTACCACAGTCAAAATTGACCAGCCATTTCTTATTTCGAGTTAGGTGATTTGAGTAGCCAGTGTCTATATACCACCAATCTACCATCTTTTCACCTTCATTCTAATATGTCATTAATAACACAGGTTCAGCATCAGAATCTCCTATGACCTTATTGGCTTCTTCATAATTTATTTCCTTATTTAGCCAACAATTAGCACCAAAATGGCCAAACTTATTGCAATTGTAGCACTGGACCT